TTATTTTAAGTCTATTACACTTTATATGTGATCCTTTGTGCTAACTCTTTTATAAAAAAAAATACCTTAATATCCCAGTTAGGTAATTGAAAAGGCCTTTTGGGATGGAGGACTCAAAATGACTTGAGAAGGCCAGAGAGCACTAGAGACTCAAATATTTTCCGACTATTTAAGTATGTAATGTAGTCGATAAAGCTGCCTTATATAAGGCAGTTGTAGATGATGCTAAACCCTTGTCAAAAAACGAGCTATGGCTTGCACATTTGACAAAGTGAGATCTAATTCCTTGTAAGACACCATTGTCAATAAGTATGTTATTTCCTTTGATAAATGTCCACTATGGGTCTATGGAGAGACTGAGACGAATACATGGCAAATTTACAAGTTAAACCCCAATGATATGTAAAGGACTGCATAACTTCCATGTATGAAGTTTGAGATTTGGAATGTTTGGGTGCATAATGTGGTCCAAACCTTAAACAGAACACTAAGAAATCAGTAGGAAGGCACAGAGGTACAATCCTGTCCAGTCTTGAATGAATTCACCTATTGCCAATGCCCAAGGATGAGGTACCAGGAACCAAAATGCCCGTAGTTGAGAGTTCCAACGAGTAGTGAATGTATCAATCATTGGTATCTCGAACCGAGAACAAATCCACAACAAAACCTGCAATGTAGCATCCATTTGGTGAGGAGAATCTGCTATGAAATTCATTACCACAGAACATGGTAAGATAATAGGCTGGTATGATGGGAGTGAGCCCAATAAAAAAGATACAATGTTCAAATACAAGGATCCCTGACTGGAAATGTAAGATGTGGAGGGAAGCTTCATCATCCGTTCATAGGCCCCAGAATTCCTGACTGTTGATTTACACACTCCACCCCTGAAGTGAGGTATCTGTGGGAGATAGATCTCGAGACGAGGTAGCAGTAGAGGAACACCTATTATACTATTTTTTCAATCTAACCACCACTCAAGATCTAAGATGTTGATCTTGAATAAGTAGACTGGGTGACCCAGTAGATTGTTGTTCATGATCCATTGGTTGCATAGTGCCGACTGAAGGGATCTCATACGTGCTACTCCCAAAGCAATTAGAGATTTGAGTGATACTTACATCCCCAAAAGAGAAAGAACCACCTGCACAATGGGAGAAGGAGGTGTGAATAAAAGTTTGACTGCTGGACTTCGATACAAGTTGAATAAGACATCAATATGGACAATGTGTTGAGTTGACATGAGAATAGATTTCTCAACTCTGATAATAAAGTCTGCCTTGGTGGTTTCTGAAAGGAGGATCTGACTATGACATTCCGCCAACTGACAAGATAGTGCCAGGAGTAACCAGTCGTTCATATAGTGGTGTGTGTGCACAGGCCTAAAGAATGAAGGTAAGAAGAAAAAGCTTGTACTATTCTGGAGAACATATACGGTGTAGATGCTAGTCCAAAGGGTAGAGCCCTGAACTGCAGTACCTGACCCTTGTGCATGAAACATAGATAGCTATGGGAATGTGGAGATAAGTGTCTGCAACATCAAACTTGGTGATCCACAGACCTTGTGAAAAATGCCAACATAGGGTGAGGAATGACTCCATCATGAACCTAGAAGGATCAAAGTATCAATTGAGATAAGAAAGTTCGATGATTGGATGCCAATCTCCCATATTCTTGGGCACAACAAATAGATGAAAATAAAATCCTGGAAGAACAGGGTTGACTCTCTCTACTGAACCCTTGACCAATAACTCTCTGATAGTCCTGGAACAAAGGTCCACAATCTGAAGATCCGTTAGAGGTGGAAACACTACAAATTGGGGGGATAATGGTGGTGATGTGAACTGAATCACCAACCCTGATGGAAGAACCTGTAGTACCCATGAATCTGTGGTAAAGGAATGCCACATGTCCAGAAAATGTGGTAACTGAACCCCCACTAACCCCATCAGCACAGGGTAGATACTGATACCACTGATGATGGTCCACCCAAGTGGAGGAGCCTCTTTGATAAGAACAGAATCTAATCTGAGTGCCAACAGATCGAGGGATTGATGTCGAAGGTCGAGACACACGAAGAGGGACAGAGCCGTGACTCCCTGTAGGGATTGAAGAAAGTCGAGAGGCCAATGACAACAATGAAAAATGCAAACAGGCAACTTCAATTCGTGATTCTAATGCCTCTGCAACACCCGAAAACATCAAGGGGTGAAGAAAGAGGTCTCATGTAGGGCAGCAGCCAGTAGACAAATCCCCTCTAAAAAGACATCTCTACCCAACAAATCCAAATAATAAGCAACCAAGAATATAAATGAAGAGCATAAGCTAACAATTGTACCAAGTTAAATGTCAACAAAGATCCCAACTCGTCATCAAACTGATGCAGTGATTGCTGAGAGGCTTCCAACAAAATTTGCAGAGATGATTAATATCTCAGAACTGTAATATGGGGCAGACAAAATTGAGAAAATTTTGATCTGTTCAAGTTGATCACAGGCTCCATTCTGGAACCCCACATTTCCAAAAGCAGATCTAATCTTTGGGAATCTAAATATGCATCTCCCTGGTGGTGGTAAACTATCACTTCATGTAACCGAATAGAAAATCACCCTGCATGAACAGCAATATCAGGTGATGGAGGAAGAACTAAGTATTCACCCTTAAAACTTTTCCACCAGCAAGGAAGGTGTAGGCTCAAAGACAATTTGGAAAATCTGCAAAAATCACACACTCCACTGACTAACTGAAGAAATGGAGCTGGAGGTGGATGATCCAAAGTCGCCTCATGATAAGCCAACCTAGTAAATGAAGGTGTCAGAAAAAACAGAGTCTAAATTCTCTCCAAAATGTTCGGGATCATCGGAAAAAGCAGCTTCAGAACCCCCCAGACTGAATATATGTCTCCATCTTACTATGAATCAGATCAGGGACAGCCTCAAGTGAGAGTGAACCCATCTGACTGTTGAGAAATGATAGATATAAGAGGTGAGATATGGAGGTCTGATTACCCTCCATGCTGGAAACAGCAACCCAGGAGTTTATGCCTTAAAACGGCATGTTGTAAAATTTTTTGTTGTTGTTTTCTATGAAAATCAATGAGGCGACGTAAAAATTGCACCCAATGTCTGACAGTTGTAGTACTTTTTTTAGAGAAACCTGTTCCTAAATGCTTTGTTGAGAAAATGTGATAACATTATCTGAATGAAGTTCTCATATACAGTACCAGGATAGAGGGCACATTGACATAGTTGGAGAGAGTCATGAGATAAATATTGCCAAGGGCAATTGGGTGGGGTATAAAAGACTGGAGCAAGTGGGAAAAAAATCAGACCAATGTTTAGATGAGCAAAAAAAGAAACCCTGGCAGTCGAATAATAGCTATAAGTGGGAGAGAAGGTATGTTTTGGAAACCATGTTACCAACCTCAACAATAATCAGTACTACCTTTTGGAGATATGTTTGAAATTGTTACAACTGTTTCTTCAGAAATTATATAATCTTGGCACATTCACTTGAAGTAGAATCACATCTCAAAAAAGACAAACATAGCATCTGAATAACTCCAATAAGTAAATAAAAATCTTGAAAAAATAAATCTTGAGCTACACATAATCTACAAAAGCCATTACAATTTTTGGGCATAGCAATTACTCAAATATCAGTGTACAAGTGCCATGAGAAAATGCAATCACATAAAGTTGACTAAGATCTAGATAAAATCAGACAGAGGTACAGAACTACCATTTAGATGATAATGATTGTTCTAAAGACAAAGGATAAAAATATTAAATGTCATGTAAAAATACTCTAAATGAAAGAATGTAAAGCTGTCTGAATTTAAAATATAATTTTTGATAATTGTCAAAATAAAAGACATTTACTTATATTTTTTAATATTATAAATATACAATATGTTGTTGTTGGGCTTTGGATTCTTCCACAGCAGGTGTGTGTGACTTGTTGGCGATAAATTCAATGATAAATGAACGGCACACACTTCACTTGTTTTCAAAATAATATATATATTCGGAATAGATTAAACATATGTACAACAAATTCTTCCCACTATAGAGATTATAGGCATATCATAGACACTATATATATATATAAAGTTCTATTCTTCTTGTTAAAAGTCCACTTAGGCCTAATCAATTACTTTAGAATTTCAGTTGACAAGCCGAACTATCTTCGCTATTAATATCGCACTAGTATTTAATGTGTGATTCACTTACAATTGTGGCACGATTTACCTTAATCATTAGGTCTTCCTTCTTTAAAATATCCTCTGTTCCTTTTGTCAAAGTGCACTTCAGAACCACACTTTGACAGAATAAATTATTATTCTTATCTCCTTTTCTACTGTTAGTCTTACTCTAACATGTTAAATGTTAGGCCTATCAGTTCTACGGTAGTTAACTTCACACAGAACTTTTCCTTTTCTGTAACTTTACTATCTTCTGCTATTGTCTGTCTGCTGTTTCCAATCGTCTCATGCTAATTATATAGTTATGACTTAATTTTCTGCCCGCCGTCTAGAAATCTCTATATTCTTGACATCAATGTATTGCACGTGAGGTTCGATAGTCTCAACATCAATGACTTATAAACACAACTTCCTACAATTGTCTGCTTTTATTTCTTATTATAATAAATACTAAACAATAATAAAATATTCACTCACAAAATAAATTTATCAATAATATATAAGCTAAACAGTCTTTTATATCATGATAAAATCAAAAAGATGTAGGTGAATAGAGAAATACTGATTATTGGTAAAAGCAAAAGAAATTATTTAATGACTTATAGCAGAGGTAAGATGCCACAGTTCAAATCTCTTTCCACTGAATTGCCTATTCCTATAAATCATTCCTTGTTTTTTGCAACTATGCATGCACAGAAACACATACAAAACACACTTTACAGGTATAAAAGCACAAAAAAGGGTAATTTCTACCCTCAAAAACAGTTTGCATTACTAAACAATGTCTAATACTTACCTTCCAGCCATGAGGAGCAGTCTTAAAGTATGGAAAATTTTCTCTGAAATAAAAATACAAAATATAGATTTTAGAGAGTGAAAAAATTCAATTGTAATCATGAAAATGCTTGCTTCTTGCAAATTATAAGCAGTCTTAAGAGTAGACTTAATACAATGTATAACAAACAGTATAAAAGCTGACTGCAGAATTTAGACTGCAATGGATTTGTGCTTTTTCAGTAAAACAAAGATAAAATTGTTAGTAATAAATTTATAAAATTTTGAAAAGTGTTAAGTCAAACAATATCCATTAATGATAGTAAATACCCTACATTAAAGAAAATGTGTTAAAAAGACTGGTATGGACTTAATCAACACACAAGTAATCGTTTTTGAAATTCCAACCAACAAAAAAATCCTTGTCTTTCATGTGATGTATATAAGTTACTCATTCAGATCACAAAACATATTAATTTCTAGAAAATACAATCATTCCTTTGGATGTTATAACCCTTAGTGCTGCTCTGCATGAAAAAGAAACAAAACTATATATCTATTTATCATATTACATGAATTATTCAAATAACTGAAAATGTTTTAAGTTAGCTCAAGAGCACTCATATTAGATACCATATTGTGAGGACTTTTTGGCTACACCACATACATTTGATATTTTACAAGCATTTTCAAACTACTAAAGGTGTAGGATGCCTTTGTGTACTTTCTATGCTAAATGTACTACAGTGTTATATTTATTAGGTTAATTCAAACAGAAGTATTTTTCCCTTTTGTTAACAATAAAAAAAGGAATTTTCTGAATATACAAAGCAAGTTCTATCTCAAAGAGGAAAGAGATAGTATTTGTAAGTTAAAAGATGTAAACCTTTATCTTGCAATCAATAAAGCTCATCTAGGATGTTGTTTAGATAACTATGGACGTTATATCTCAAAGGGCAAAGATACAGCATTTGTAAATTAAAAGATGCAAATCTTTATCTTGCAATCAATAAAGCTCATCTAAGATGTTGTTTAGATAACTGTTTTCGTAAAAAAGTGATACTAAATCTTTCAGCGTTATAATAAATAATCATAACTTTTTCCACTGATTAGCACTTGTCAGTTAGTTGAGAATTAGTCCCAAAAACCTGGCAAAAGATATAAAAGAAAAGATTTTATGTCAAAGGCCTAGTTAGATGAGATTTCATTACAGCTTTATCCATTGTCTGGCACCTAACAAGTGGGCACACCACCTCAAGAGCCATTTAATGAAAATTGAACCCTTTAAATACATTATTCTCTTATATTAGCAGTTTCCTAGTGCTCCTTGAGTGTGTTGGTGCTTCAAAGAAATATCTGAATGTAATTTAACTCTTATGCTACAAGGATATAGTGGTTTTAAGTTTGTTTTGGTTTGTTCAGAATTTTGTAAAAAGTACTCAAGAGCTATCTATGTTAGCCATCCATAATTTAGCAGTGACAGACATGAAGGAAGGCAATTGTCAACACCATCCACTGCCAACTCTTGGTCTACTCATTTACCAATGAATAGCAGGATTAAATGCCATATTATAACACCCCTATGGCTGAAAGGAAAAGCATGTTTGATGATGGGATTCAGATTTTGAGTTGAGTACCCTAACCATTAGGCCATGCACGATTTTAAGATTTAAAAAAGTATATTGTTAGTCTTAAAATACTGAAATATGATGTGCATTTTTTTTCTTGTTGCAGGAAAATATTGTCTATACAGGTAATATTATGATGATTATATAAATAGGTAGATGTTAGCTTGGAATATAAAACCATATAGAGAATCCATAAGGGAAAAATGAGGTAAGGGACCCTGAAAGGTAGCAATGTAAATGCTCACCCCTCTGTATAATCTAGCAGAAATGGTCAAGATAGCTATAGGGGTAGTCAAAGACCCTCAGATGACTGCCAGATCATGCAACTACTCTGAGATTAAAGTATTGGGCAACTGGGCCATTAAGGACATACAAATGTGATAAATCTGATCAGATGTGACTCACAGAAGATTCGTTGCCTTCAAGTAGAGCCCAGAATAAAAAGTCATTGCCTAGCATCTCTAAAGGCATTAGTGCAGGCAACAAAACCTTCAAGACCCTCACTAAACATGACAATGATCAAAATCTGATCGGTCAAAGAAGTGAGAAAAAGTGAATTGGTGAAAAGGATTTATCCCCTTCCTTTTTTGAAAGTGTCTTTGCTAAGAAGAACTGGTGTGAGGACATAGGTAGAATGATAAAGTGGTCCGTGGACAAACAGTGCAAACAATTCCAACCAGCAATGTCTGTAGGTCAGAAGCAACTAAAAATAAACCTTCAGGTAAAGGTGATACATGGAGTATGAAAATCAGGTCACAAACAGGTGTTGAGAAAGGGCATTTAATGTAACCTTAGTATACCAGTTAGGTAACTGGAATGTTTGTTTGGAACGAAGGACCCAAAATGACTTGAGAAATCTGGAGAGTATTGGTGGCTCAAAAAATATGTAGTTGCGATAATTAAATGGTAGTCGATAAGGTTGCATTAAACAGGGCAAAAGTGGAAGATGCAAAAACCTCTGCTTAAGAGCCAGGTCAAAAAACGAGTTATGGTTGGCACTTCTGTCCAAAATGGATTCAACGTCCTCTCAATACACCATTGCTGATATGTATGTCATTTTCATTGATAAATGTTCATCTTGGACTAAGAAAAAAACTGAGACAGATACATGAAAACTTAACAAATTAAACCCTGATGCCATGCAAAAGACTGCATAACCTTTATGCCTGAAGCTTGAGCTTCTGGATAGCCAGCTTAAGAGAAAGTGGACACTCCTCAAGGTATTGCAAATACCAGGGTGTAGCTGCCAATAAGGTATTATCAACAGTACCCAACAATGGGTTGGAACAAATCATAGTTAGTACCTTGGGTAACATACGAATTGGAAGGAAGGCCTAGAGTTCTAACCCTGTTCCATCCTGATGGAATAGATCCATTTCCAAAGCCCAAAGGTGAGTTACTGGAGACCAAATTGCCAGTATTTGAATGTTTCAATGAGAGGCCAACCCACCAATCAGAATTACAAAATGAGAGCCAATCCAACAGAATCTTGTGATGCAGCATCTATTTTGTTGTGAGAATCTGTTTGATTTGAGACCATTGATCTGCTACTGCCATCATCATCTGAGGAACATGGCAAACTAGTAGGGTGATATGATAGGAGTGGTCTCGATAAAGGAGGTCCATGATTTGAAAACATGGAGCCCTGGACCAAGTGCCTCCTCAACAAGAAACACAATACACTACCATGGAATTGTCAGAGTGAAGCCTAACAATTTTCCCCTTAATGAGCCCAACCCATGAAGCACTGACTTTTGAAGAGCAAGAAAAACTAAAACATTGTGTACGGAAGCCTTGTCATCCGTGTGTAGACCCTGGTAGATGCACCCCATCCCTGAAGCGAGTTATTTGTGAAGAGATTGTACTTTGGATAAAGCGGTGGCAGAGGAATCCATATCTTAGTAGTGTCACGACTTAACAACCCCTCAAGATTGAAGGATGATCCCAACTAAGGAAACTGAGGAATCCAGTGAATCGATGTTTATGATCCTTTGATCACATAAAGACCATTAAAAGAATCTCTTTTGCTCTTGTCCCAATGGCATGAGGGATTTCAACAATACCCACATTCCCAAAAGCGAAAGAACCATCAGTGCAGTAGGAGAAGGGGAGGTGAGTAAAAGTCAGGCTTCCTGTTCCATAGCCTAGAGCCGGATGGGAGTCAGCTGAGTCTGACTGAGAGAAGTGATGAAAAAAAAACAACCATACTGATGACATATTGAATTGAAGAAAGAACAGATGTATAAGCTCTGAGAATGAAGCCTGCCATGACTGTTTCTGAAAGAAGAATCAGGGTGTGACGTTCTGACAATTGATGAGATGGTGCCAACAGTAACCAGTCGTATATGGAATGGTGTGTGCACAGTGCTATGGACTGAAGGTGACGAACAAAAACTCGTATCATTTGGCAAAATCCATGTGAAGCTGACACTAGTCCGAAGGTAAAAACCCTGAACTGCAGAACTTGATCCTTGTGCACAACAAATGCTGATAGTGGTGAGATGCCACCACTATGACAATGTGCAGACTGGAGCCGACTACAACGAACTTGGATATCCACAATCCCAGTATAAAATGTCAACTCAGGTTGAGGAATGAGAAACTTGTGAACCTTGGAGAATCTTGGTATGGATATAAACAAGAAAGATAGATGACTGGACACCAATCTCCTGTCTGCATAGGCCCAACAACTGATGGATATAAACCCTGGAAGAACTAGCAACTCTCTCACTACCCTAACACCAACCAAACTCTGATAGCCCTAGAACTAAGTTCCAAATCCCAAGGATCTGCGGGAGATGGAGATTGGATGGATAATAATGGTGAAGGAGCAAGCTGAATGATTAATCCTGACTCAAGGACTTGTAGTGTTCCTGGATTCAAGTTTAAGGTTACCAAACGTCCAAAAATTGTTGGAATCTAGCTCCACAAACCTCGAAATCATAAAATAATCATTCACTAACACTGCTGGCAGTGATCCAACCAAGCAGTGGAACCCTTGGATATAGACCGATTGTATACTGGGTACCAATGTACTGTGAGATTCATGTCAGGGGTCGGGACCTGTAGGAGCCAATAAAATTTACGATGTCAATGACAACAGGGATAAATGTAGAAGCACCCAATCAAACCAATGTGCATGCTAAAAAAATGGTTTCAGCTTGTCACCAATGAAGTTGGTGGTCCTGAGAGTCTTCCAACAAAGTGTTGTGTAAGGAAAACAAAATGTTGGATTCTAGAGTTGTAAGTCCATAAACTTACCCTGTCCCATCAGAGTACATTGATCTATCGAGGTTAACTACAAATTCTGCTTTAGAGCTCTTAAATTCGAGGAGCAGATGTATTATTTGAGAATCGAATATGCTTCCACCTAGCGGTGTTAGGCTAAATCACAAATTTCTGACAAACATGTTGGATAAGGCATAACTGTCCCTTCATGTAACTGAGAAGTAAACCTCCCTACATGAACCACAATGTCCGTGGATGGAGAGAAAACTAAAAATATTCGCTCCTTGATATTTCAGCCATCATGTAAGGTGCAGGATCAAAAGAATGAAGATATTTCTGCTGTTTAAGTTTCCTGCTCTTTTCTGGTTCACACCATTTAACTTTCAATTTATACAAGGATTAGAATAAGTTCTTAACCCTGAATTATTTCATAATTAAAAAAATTGTATGACATTTCTTACTTCTTGGTGTAGAATATTTTCTCATAGAACCAAAATTGAAGATTATTATTAAATTTAATGCATTAAATGTACCAAATTTAGACAGTAGAAATCTTGAACGCATCTCTACTGTGAAATGGGCTGCTTTGAACAAGAAGTGACATAACTATTTTGCCATTTCTGTCAAGTTTCTCAACCCAACTGCTATACTTCCCCTGTCTTACAACAATTTTCACTACTGAAAATCCTTGCAAAGATTTTATTCATTTTTAGTAAATCTGTGCATGTTTTCAAGAGAAAAAATATGGAGGAGTGCAGTTTCCTTAAAATAAGCTGCAAGATAATACATTTAAAATGCATTACAAGAGCTTCAAAAGGAAAGCTTATTATGTACTGAAAGACCACTTCAAAAATCAATAAATATTGTGCAAATTGAATTGAAAATGACTCATAATATGAGCATTACACACACAAACTGACTAATGGCTTCTATATATATATATGGTAATAAGCAACTCTAGACCATAGGAGCCAAATGCTCCATTAACTTAATTTTTTCATCCAAACCTTGTTGCCACAACAGATATTGAAGTAGACTCAATTCAGCTATTTCATTGGTATAGAAAGCTGGGTTGGGCCCAAGGGATCCCATACTTTTCAACCTGTCTCAGTAAAAATGTATCAAAATTAGGAAAATTACTCTTAGGAAAAGCAGGACAATGCACCCAAAGAGCTTCCAGAACCCTAAAGTAAGCCCCGAACCAAAACTGTAAAGTGTGTGCCTGTGGCACATATTCCCTTGCTTCACTTGGTCAAATAAGCCTTGGATCCCTATTTTTAATTTGCCTCCTACACCTATGAATTTCATGAAATTGTCTTATTCAAATGGCTCTGTGGTAAATGGAGGGTCTTATAAATATAAAAAGCTGATGTGATCTATGTAGTTATTTTTTGCCCCTGTAAGATGATGCAACCTATACAGTTAAGATCGTTGTTGCCCCTGTAGGCTGATGTAATCTATACAGATAAGATATTTGATGCCCCTGTTAGTTGATGTGACCAATACAGTTAAGACAGACATTTTTCGTTGTGCTAGGCAGAATACTGATTTTCTAATTAATAAGTTACAAACAATGTACTTAATTATAATAAAAAGTGAAAAACTCAACATATAAAAAGTAAGTTACTGCATCGTCTAAAACATTTCCAATACTATGCTAACTGGTCTTCTCAAAGTGATTGGCTGGTTGCCACGCTGTCACACTAACTCTACTAGGAAATAGGAAATCATTAGATAAGAAGGTTAGTGGGTAAACCATTTTATGTACCATAATTCTAGGCCTCTAGATTATTGACAGTATGCTTAGAACTGCACAATGATGAAAGAATGTAGAGCTAGATACTTATGTGAATTATCAATAAACTTGCATGGCAACACCTGATGTTATATTGTAATATATAGTCTCAGTTAATTTTTTCATTACAAATATAACTATCACACTATGTACACTCAAAAGTATTAAGCATCAATATTGTTTGAGCATTACTTTAAAAACAATTTATGCACTTTTTTCAAATTTTTGGTAAGAAATTCCAGGAGGTGTGCAAAATATTTTTTATGATCATTACTCTGAGAGCCCCTCTATTTTGTGACAATAAAATGACAGGTTTTTCTTGTTTTAAATAATATTTGATCATTATTATAAAAATACATAAAACAATTTACTGAAAATCAATCAAAACTGATTGAATGCTAGGTATAATTATAACAATATGTGAAACATGTTCCCTAATTACTACAACACTGATTATATTTGTAGCATGTAATAAGTAAAACAAAATATGCATCAAGGTTGGTATAGTCTGGTGTTAAGGTGGTTTCCTCATAAGTAAAGGATTGTGAACTCTTTACCCGGTACCACCAAACATATTTGCCCTCTAAGCTGTGAGGGCAGTATAATGTCACCATCAATACTGAGGGTCATTCCCATTATTCATTGGTAAAAGATTGGCCCAACTGGTCAGTAGTTCAAAACTAGGAACAGTGGCAGATAGCATTATCAGCTTTGCCTTAGCTCAAAAACTGAAAACAAACATAATACTACCACTGCTGAAAGGGCAAATTTTTTGGGGAAACAGAACTTAAACTCAAGATGAGAAGCATAAAGCAACAGTCCACTGGGCCGTACAAACCTGAAGCTGAACAAACATGAACTAAACAAAAATAATAGTCAGTAATCATAATGACAGCATTTCAATTACTTGTATATTGTTGGAATAATGGAAAACACCAATTTCGATTATTTGATTATTCTCATGACATTAATTGACTTAATCATAATTTTGATTAACCGATTATTTTAAGTGACACTAATCTATGTACACAGATAATCTATGATATTGTTTAATTGAGTTAATTGCCCACAGTTGGCTTAAACTAAAAAAAAAATCTGTCTTGTGTTCTAAATATGTTCTTCTACCACGTATTTTTGTGGAAAAAGAAAACCACTACTTAGCTATCAGTTCAGTTTATAAGCAAAACAGTAATACAAAAAATGGAAAAATTAAGTATTATGTAGATATGGCAATGCCAAATAGTACAGAAAAAAGAAAGGGAAGAATACACAAACAAAAATCACTACATAAATAGCCAGTACTCAGTTCAGTCAATCTTACAAGCTTATGGTTATTAGCTACTGTAAGACTGTATAACACTGTTCAGTTTAAATGCTTTTATTCAAACTTCAATTTGTGCAACTGACAGGAATTCAACATTCAGTTGCAGATAAAAGTTATTCTTGAAAAAATCTGGCTACTTATGTAGGGATTTTTATATGGTTTTATGTATTCATCCCTACCTTATTTCTATACTTTTTGAACGCTGCTATCCCTACAACATACTTTTTGTAAATTTTATTACTTCTATTTATTAAAATCTAAAGACAATGATTTTATCTGATAAACTCAAAGTTCTCAATGGCTTCTCTCCTTCCCTTTACAGTTTACAAACACACAATCAAATATAGTAGAGCACCAATTATTGGGACTAGTTGAGACCAAGGGTGGTCCGGTTAATTGTAAATATGGATAGTTGGACATTATTAAATAATCATATCTTTAACATATATTTTATAGTATTTCTCTGCTAGATTTTTTTTTATCAGATTCGCTTTTCTTAACTTGACAAAGAGCATCTTTAAGTTAAAGAAAAATAAACACAATTTTAATTTTTAAAGAAACACAAAGCATGTCCAAACTTAATAAGGCTAATGTCGCAACTGTCAGTTCTGCAGCAAGATCTACCCTTTGTTGTGAAGTAATCAAAGCATGTTAGGACATGTTTAATATTTGAATGCGTTTTTTGAAGAAAATACATACTTGTAAGTACATATTTTTAATTTTCAAAATTTTATCTGGATAATTGTACATCCTGATAATCGGCATTCTACTGTTTGTCCTATAACCCATGTCACCTAAGTAACATGGAGGCATTACAACTAATGAATTTATCTAAATATTTAAATTAATTATCAGTTTTTAATGTTTACAAAAGCAAAAAGTACCCAGAGGTCCCATGAAAGTTGCAAATATTTTTAAGATCAAAATCAGCTACACTAACTTACATCATGAAATTGTATATTTCATTCACTGGGAGACTTCCCGTTCGGCTGTTTTTAAGAGCCATGGCTATAAGACAACTGTAAGAGAAAGCAGGTTTAGGGTAGGACTTTTCCCTGTTGTTCTGTTGGAGGTCAGACTTGCTGTTCTTACCACTACTGAATTTCTGTTTGCTCTTAGGACTACTTATGACTGCAGTTATAGTAGATGGCTGCTCAAGGGAAATTTGTACAGCTGCATGGTTGAGATGCTGAGGACTGGGGGATGAACTGGACGTGATTAATTGTGACTCTGAAGGTAAACCATCAATTCTTTGAGAAGTACAAAATGTTTGATTTTCACTGGCTCTTGCTGGCACTGCTGTAGGTGGTTGAGGCATGGTGATGGGTACTCCTGTTTGGGGGTTTACCAATAATCCACCAGGAATATCAAAATCTGATCCCAAATTGAAAAGCTGAGACCCCTGAGATAACCATGTGGAGGCTGCGACTTCTCCTACCGCACTGTCCATATCTAAAGACTCTAAGGGTACAGCTGGAGCAAGATCTGTCAATGTATGTTGGTGGTCCTCCTGATCATCTTCCAAGTCTCCATTACAAGTTAGAAGAACATCCAAGTCAGATCGAATGTCTGAATCCAACATATCCTGAAGTTTAAAGGTGTCACCATACATGTCCATGACAAGGCCTACATAAAACAGACAGAATAAAAAATATATTATATTAGCTATTGGTGATTGGTTTATCTCTAAAACAATTTCACAGATTTGTTTGGAAATAATATATTATGATGGTAACATATACCATGATTAACTTCTGAGGTAGAGAGATAGAAAATTGTAATAATATATCTTGAACAAAACATTACGCATTTCAATAATGTATTAGCTATATAAACAGGAAGTTATGATATTATGATCATGTGGTTTGCTTAAATAAATGAAACACAATGAGTAAACTGATGTAATATTATTTTATGGTAATTTTCTACAATACAGACACAAGGATAATTGTACTACTTATTTTTCATGGTTACTACAACCAGTTTATTTTTTGTAAGTTATATTCTTAATGTTTTAATTAATTTGTTAGCTACATGTACAGCTGGACGATTTAATCAATTGCCTAATACTAGCAAATATATCGATTAATGGCAAGAAAATAGTCAACTAATCAAAATTAATTATTCTGATTATTACAACAACTGATTAATCAAAATTATAGGTAAAGCAATTGTCACAAAAATAATGAACTAATAAAAGATAGGGGTTTCAATTATTCCGAATATCAAAATATTGCCATTATGTTTATTATTAAGCATAATGGGAGGATGCCTTGTGATTTGAAGGTTTCGAGATTGATTTCCATTGCCACTAAATTTACTTGTCTTGTCTCTGTTATTGCAAAGCTATCTGCCACTAATTTTGAACTGATGACTAGAAGAAAGGCAACTGACTGGTAGCACCCACCATCAATTCTTTGGATACTCAAGCATTACATAAGAGTGCAAATTTAATTTTTTTTTCCTTTTTACATGATGTTACATTTCTAATTTATAATTGCATACCTGTATATTTAATGTTGTATAGCAGACATAGATCTAGAAGAGGGGCTCAATTGATATATTATCCCGATACATTTTCTGTTAAGCTTCAGTTTATCATTTAACCTTAATTGAAAGATGTGGAAGTTATAGGTCTGAAATATACACTAGAAATGTATACAAGCTGTATATACTATGTGCATCAAATATGTTTTGTGTTCTGAAATTCGTTACAAAGTATTGCCAATTTTTATTAATTTTATCTGGTAATGATTAAAATGTGCTATGGAAGTATGAATCATGAATAAAGTAATGTAACAAATATAAAATTATATCTTCTGCCTTTGATGCTTCTAATTGAAATTAATATACATTTGAAGTGCTAACTTAATTGAGTAGACTTCCAATCTACTAGCTTGCTACTTTCAAATAACGGTTTTTCAAATTTATAAAGAAAATGGAATAATTTTGCTTATGGATTCCAAGTGTTAAGGTTGGTTGAATATAGTGTTGTGTTGATTATTAATGGTTTGCTTAATTAATAAATAATGCTTGTCATATTAGGGGGAGAAATGTATAAAAATCAGAATTCAGTTTTCGTTTAAGAACAACTAATTTGCTTTAGGCTAATTAAATGTATAAAGGAATGAAATTGTTCTTTCAACATCCCCATAATTCAATTCAAAGTACTGTAATATGGCTTAGTTGTTTTAGCTAGACATTTTCAATATACAAGTTTAGCTATAACTGAATTTTTATTCATTTTCCCCTATTGTGGTTTACATTTATCAAAGGTACATAAATTTTAATTGATATCCAAAACTACCAAGGTCAATCATATGACAATGTTGCCAACATGAGTGGAAAATACAAAGGCATACAGGCAATTATCCACCAGAAGAATCCACTAGCAGTGTTTCTACCATGTACTGCTCATTCACTTAACCTTGTAGGAGATGCTGCAGTTGATAGTTGTTATCCTGTGGTAGCATATTTTGAATTTGTACAACAACTGTACATATTTTTCACAAATTCTATTTTGCTATTTGCTTTATTGATTAATGCTCTCAAGCCTAAAAGCTTGTTTGTACAGAAAAACTTGAGTAATACCCATTGGTAAACTCATGCAGATACCAAAAGGGCATTATACAAGGACTATGATGAAAAGCAAAACGGTGAGACAAGATATACTGCATGTTTCTCTTTACAAAATGATGTGTAAATTGGAAATAGGAGTTTATACAGGATTCTGGCATTCAATTTTTGGCCTCTTCAGTCAAATAAGTAAGAGTCTACAAAATGAGTCCATTGATCTTAACAATGCTGTAGCTCTTCTCAATTCATTAGCAAAAATTTATCTAATCCTAACAAGATCGTTTTGAATAGTTTGTAACTATCAAAATTGAGCTCTTGAATTCAAATGAATTCAAGTAAAAACAAAACAAAAAAATGCAGACACAAGTTTAATGTTTGTTTGGTTTGTTATGGTCAATCACTAGAGGGTGAGCTGACTCCAATTATTGACAATTTATATTCTGATGAATGCTCAATTGCTTACACAGAAGTGAGCAATTGATTTGGATTTCTCAGGCAACTTTTAATGGAACTGCACCAGATCCACTCTGCAGCCTTGAAGCTAGTAGAAAGTAATGAATCAGATATCGATAATGGCCTGGGTGACGAGTTGGTTCAGTTTCAAACATTAACAGAAGAGAAGGGTAAGGACAATGTAAATGAGACCTACACATATAAGGAAATCATTAAAAACAAAGATGTTTTTTCTAATGTGGAAATTATTTTGAGAATTTCTCTATCTTAATGATTTCCAATTTGATTAGTGAGAGATGATTCTCAAAACTGAAATGAATTGAAAATCCTTTACGATCCACTATGAAACGTTCAAGAATGGTGAATCTGTCTATTATTTCCCTTGAACATTGATGAGATTCTCTCTTCGTTTTCAAATAGTTAAATGAGGAGAAAATATATTAAGTGAACACATGTGTGATTTAATGTGTTTTTTCTTTAATTGATATTGTTTATCCTTGTTACTTTTCGTTTAACCAATTTTGCTTTATAACAAGTTTAATGTCATAAATACATTACTTAGATTTTTCAACCCTATGTGATAGTTTGTGCTCTATTTCACCAATAAATGGCTTTAGTGGTGATATTATGTATAAAATCTCCTCTTACAAGATACCTTTCTATCAAAAGGTATCTTGTTCATAGTTACCTAGGGCAGCCCAAAAGCTTAATCCAGCCCTGAAAATAAGTGTTTAGTAATTTATTCATCTGGATTATACAGATCACGTATAGCATTCAAAATCGTCAAAAAACAATGTGGTGGTTGTACTTCGTCTGCCATTTTTTATTTGAATTTCCACCATTATGAGTTTAAAAATTTTTTAAATGTCTATTGTAAAATTTCCATTTTAAATAAAGTTTTCTTCCCATATTTTATATTGCCTAATCTAAGCTACTTACACAGGTAAAAATTAACATGGAGAGTTTGGTCTTTCTTCTTCACCATTGCCTCTTTAACTGGATACTTAATTATTTATAACTGTAATTGTGACATGTTTAAATAAAAACATTAATGCTTATTGTGAAAGTAAAACGTGTTTTCATTATTTAATTACCAATTTATTTTATTTACAGATTTGTGGGATTATTGCATGTTCAAAACTCAAAAAAAAGGTAATCTCATAGTAGTATTTAGTCAATATTAGTGATTCATCTATCAAATTGGAAATGCTCATAAAACTTGTGTGTGAAATATTTTTTTGGCAAACAATGTGTTTTCACTATGGAAATATAGGAAGGAAAATGTATATTTTATTACAAAAATGCCAACTGAAATTGAAAAATGTAATTTTTAAGTTTAAATTAACCTATTTAAAACATTTAAAAAAGTTTGTTTGTTATGGATTTCGTGCAAAGCTACACGAGGGCTATCTGCACTAGCCATCCCTAATTTAGCAGTGTAAGACTAGAGGGAAGGCAGCTAGTTATTACCACCCACCGCCAACTCTTGGGCTACTCTTTTACCAACGAATAGTGGGATTGACTGTCACATTATAATGTCCCCATGGCTGAAAGGGTGAGCATGTTTGGTGTGATGGGGATTTGAACCCATGACCCACAAATTGCGAGTTAAGCGCCCTAACCACCTGGCCATGCCGGGCCACTTAAAAAAAAGAAGAAGAAAACTGAACTTCCAGTTTAAAATAAAAATTAAAGATATCAAAGGAAAAACTGAAATAAATCTTTTAAAACAAACAAAGAACTAAAATTTCTAAGCAAAAATGAACTTAACTTCCATAAGAAACTTGCACATTTGGCTACAACTTACTTTCATCATTATATATACAAAAAACACCTACTTTAAAGCTAACTATCAAACAAAATTTTGACAGAAAGCTAGAAAAATTTCGTCTGTTAGCACAGTCCAAATCCTGACACTGTAAAGAACAATGAAATAAACCTTGCAGACTTTCAACTTGGTTAATCTTAAAAAATAGCCCTAAATAAAGGTCTTAACTACGATATAACTTCCTCCCACCATACCAGTGTTATATTTAAAACCTAGCTTTGAAGACTTTTGCAGAAAAGTAATAATACAATCAAATTGCATGTCCAATCAATAGTAATTATCCCAAGACCAGACCTCAAGAGGAATCCGCATCTAATTCATCGCAACACAACGAAGAATCACCAGACATATTCAACATTCCAAAAAACAATCAACTTAATAAGCAAGTTCCCTACCAAACCAAAAGCAGTATATTAAAAAAAACTTCCAAGATGAACTTAGTGAAAAAGCTCGAAAATACTAAAGATTAAGATGTATATAAAACAAAATTGGACATCAAAAGAAAAAAAAAGGCCAAAAACTGTTTAGAAACAATGAAGACAGACTTCCCAAGAGCTGAGAAACGAAACTAAGTATAATTCCTTAATGGCAAATACATTGAATGATATGTCTAAATTTACTTAGTCAAATTCATGATGTTAGAAAAACACGCAAGTTCAAGAAGTCTTGATAGAAATTGATAAAAAGCCCTATAACCTGAGCACTTTCAAAAGGTCCACTGTATCTAACACTGTATTAACCACAGTAATTTATAATGCTGTAGAA